TACTTTCCTTTTTAGTTTTATTTTAGGATTCCCTATTTTTAATGTGCGTACAGAGATTTCTTTAACTGAAATACGGAATAGTTTCTCTGGTGTGAAAAACTACAATAGTACACAGGATCCTAACGAGATAATTAATAATGTGAAATAGGAAGTAAAGGGCTAAAGGTGTAGGGAAAGTGAGAAGGGTGGGGGAAAGGTAATAAGGGAGAGGAAAAAAATATGAGAAACTGAAAAAATGGAAATAAAGTGTTTGTAAATGGGGAGGGGAGGAGGGGGTGAAGGGAGGGTAGGGACAAGGGGAAAAATGAGAATCAAGACCTATTATGTAAAGGTACAGACTCCCAATGATGAATGTAACTGTATTTGTATACCTAGATTGTACCAATAAACTCAATAAAAATTTTTTAAAAAAATTTTAAAAAAATTATCTGACAGGGTCTCCCTAAATCACTAAGTTACCCAGGGTGGGCTTGAACTTGTGATCTTTCTGCTTCAGCGTCCCAAAATGCTGGGAATACAGGTGTGTGCCACACTAGGCCTGGCTTCTGTGGCTTCTGATGCTGCTGAGACAAGAGGCCCAGCCCGGCCCAGCCCACCTCCCCACCAGCAGAGCATGTGTGCTCTCCTCTGAGTTCCTCTTGCTCCTCTTTCTCTTGAGGGATGGGTGGACCCCAAGCTGGTATCGCTGATTGGTCTGTGGCCCCCTCTTTTCCATAGGCCACAAAAGCCAGTGTGGGCTGCGGCTCCCTACTGGCTGGGGTGGGGCGGGGGCCTTGCTGCTCTGCCCCGAGCCAGGTGCCACCTCACCTGCTGGTAGACCTCCACAGCTGGCTTCCACAGGTGTTTCAGGCTCAGCCCCTCCATGTCAAACACCATCAGCAACGTCTCGATCTTTCTGCCCAGCTGCGCGGGACGGAGCAAGCAGACTTCTTAAACCACAGTTCCTGGAGATCCTGGCCAGAGGCTCAGCACAGCTCCCACCCGCGCTGCTCACACGCTGTAGCAGCTCACGGTTGTCATTTCCCAAACAGAGCGAGCCCTCTAGGGTCTGAGGGGTGCTGCCTCTGAACCCGGACGGTCTGTGGGTTCCTGGTGTGTTATCACAGTTTGTCCAACACCCTTTCCTGGGATAAGCTAACTGCATAATTGAAGACATTACTGGCTAGGCTTTTTTTTTTTTTTTTTTTTTTTTTTGTGGGGGGGGGGGGGGGGTG